GAATATTCATAATTAAAAATAACAACAAATATATAATTTGGAATATTTTTCTGTAGAACAAAAAATCAAGTATTTATAACTATATAATAAATATATAGTTTTTTTTTATTATTGTACAGTGATAAAATTGCAATACTAATAAATATGGCTGTTACGTTTTCTTCATTTCTAAATGTTAAACCAAACTACGGGGGGCCCTTAAAGCTTCTCTTTTGTTGACAACAGCCAGTTTATGAGAGTTTCTCATTACAAGTTTGGGAAGATTGTTTGCAATGTTTTGTTCCTAACTGCATGTCAACTCACAGCACATGCAGAGCTGTGCATACTGGTAAAAAATGTATAGCCTGAATGCACTGTAAGTCGCTTTGGATAAAAGCGTCTGCTAAATGCATAAAATTATTATTATTATTAATTATTAAAAATGGTGCTTGATCTGTGCATTTCTTTTCTCTCCTAATTCAGATAATATTATATTTTTACTTTTCACAATTACATTTTCACAGCTGAAATTAAAAACTTCTTAATGATGGATTTGTTTTTGCTGTTAAAAAAACATCACAATCATTAATAATACAACTCCAGTCCATCAATTAACGTGAAGTTAAGAAAGTTAAGGAGTGTTTATAAGAAACAAATCCATCATTAAGAAGTTTTTAACTTCAGCTGTGAAAATGTAATTGTGAAAAGTAAAAATATAATATTATCTGAATTAGGAGAGAAAAGAAATGCACAGATCAAGCACCATTTTTAATAATTAATAATTTTATGCATTTAGCAGACGCTTTTATCCAAAGCGACTTACAGTGCATTCAGGCTATACATTTTTTACCAGTATGTGTGTTCCCTGGGAATCGAACCCACAACCTTTTTTTGCGCTGCTAACGCTATGCTCTACCACTGAGCCACATGAGCACATTTTTAAGACAGAACAGTCCTAAACAAATATGTGGGTGGATTTTGATGTGAGAGGACAAGAGGGGATGGACTTTATCCACTTTATTTTATATTATTATGGATTCATATTTTGGCCAGAAGCAATGGTTTAAAGTTAAAATGCAATAATGATAGATTTGTTTCTTACAAACTAAATGTTATTAATTATTAATGATCCTAAACAGTATAAAATCTGCCAAAGAGCTCATTAAATTTTTCACCCATGAAGTCTAATACAGCAGCCTGAAAGCATCAATAGTAAAATAAATGAATAAAACAGGATTTTCAGGAACAAATCACAACAGTTCCTCTCAGTGCTCTCACAGTCTAGCCAGGCAGGCTTCTAGAGAATCAATATTAGTACGTAAAGTAGGCCTGACAGTAACTACACAAAACCCATAAACAGAAATTTGGCAATAAGACAAAGACACTCATTTCACAATACAGCTCACCAGCATATGTGAGAAATAAACCAGATTGTGGCGCATCAGCATTTCCTCATCCAAAAAAAGTACCTGAATCTCCGATCATTCATGGAAAGATTACACAAAAAAACCCACACAGTATCGTAAGCAATGACACACACATTGTGTGTGTGTCTGAGTTCAGAATAGCATTATACAGCCCAGGAAAGTGTGTGAAAGTTCGGAATGAGTAAATGTGTGAGCTTGTGCAAAGGCAGACGTAGATCGAATAAGAAAGATAGAATGGAAAGTAGTAGCTGTTGTTTTGTTTTAGCAAAACGGTGTCTTTGAATGCATAAATCAACGTGTTTTCTTCTCTTCCCTGAATACGTGCTGGTCTCTATGGATCCATGTCTTATTTCAGGCACTGTCTCTTTTACTGTCAGCACTTTACTGCGGCCAGTCAGCATTTCCTCCCTGCCTACACTCACAACCAAACACAAGCTCAAAGTCCAAAACCACAACACACACAGCGATCCAAACCCGCTACGACCAAACATACAACAACTGTTAAACACCACGGGCTCACTCTGTAGATGTCTTGTCAAAGTAAAAAAAATATGTCAATTTTGTTTATAAATCCACAGGTGAAAAGGACACATAAAACTGAGCTGCCAAGCTAAGATACCCATAATGCCTTAACTTGGAAAAAAGGCAATCGCTATGCTGGGCCAAAATAAAAGAATCACATGGTTTGAGGCTTTGGCATGTGCTTGCAAGGAGAACATTTAGCAAGAACATCAAGTGCTTTAGTCCTTTTTCTTTCTGGAAGACGATGATATGGTGAGGTTTAAATGTTGGCTGAGGTTTGGATTTGTGTTTTTCTGGTCTCAATCCTCTGTAATTCATGGAGCAGAGAGAAGCTAAACATTTTACATGCAGGCAGCAGTGCAGGACTAAATATGGAGGGAAAATATGAAGGATTTAAATTAAAATATTTAAAGGGATAGTTCACAAAAATTCTGTCATCAACCGTGCCTATTGTGATTCCAGAAGATATTCTGAGAAGATCCAGAAGATATTTTGAAGAAGGGCTGCACGGTTTGGGGATAAAATCTAATTGTGATTCTTCTGATAAAAAAAAAAATTAAGGTTTGTAGGACTGTACAATTTGGACAAAACTTTTGTGATTTTATATATATTATTACTACTAAATAAAATATGAATATTCATAATTAAAAATAACAACAAATATATAATTTGGAATATTTTTCTGTAGAACAAAAAATCAAGTATTTATAACTATATAATAAATATATAGTTTTTTTTTATTATTGTACAGTGATAAAATTGCAATACTAATAAATATGGCTGTTACGTTTTCTTCATTTCTAAATGTTAAACCAAACCACGGGGGGCCCTTAAAGCTTCTCTTTTGTTGACAACAGCCAGTTTATGAGAGTTTCTCATTACAAGTTTGGGAAGATTGTTTGCAATGTTTTGTTCCTAACTGCATGTCAACTCACAGCACATGCAGAGCTGTGGAGCGTCATTTAGTGTGAACCGTGTGTCCATAATCCATAATAACACTTCCTCCAGTGAAAAAGTCCATCCTCTGTTGTCCTCTCACATTAAAATCCACCAACATATTTGTTTTGACAGCTGTTTTGAACTGTGCATATTTCTCACCTGATTTAGACGAGATGACCTTTTCACTGAAGAAAGCAATTTTATGAATAGACAACTTGTATTTTAGTCGAAAGCAAAGGTTTGAAGTAAAAAAAAAATCTTATAAGTCAAGCTTCAGTCTTGTGGATTACTTGCTTATTGTGATGTTTTTATCAGCTGCACACAGGTGATTAATAATTCACTGCCGAGGATCCATTGGTGAGCAAGTGATACGTTGCCTCTGATGAGGAAAAAAATTCATCTACATCTTGGATGGCCTGAGAGTGCGTACATTTTCAGCAAATTTACGTTTTTGGGTGAAGTATTCCTTTAGTTGGCACAGTGTCCACTTTACAGTATTTAAGTGAGATGGATTAGCTTTCAATCTGTTAATGTGAGCGCATGTATGGATTAAAATGAAGCTGTATTGTCTGTGGGAGCTCAGGGGTGCTGGCGTGCTGCAAACAATACAAAAAATAAATTATTCTTCAGTGGCTCATTTGGAAATTGTGATTTCTTTTGGTGATCTGCCAGGTGCTTTCTTTCCACTATCGCTGGATCTAACAGAGAGGCTGGAGAACATTGACGGAGGAAACCTCAGGGTCAGGAGGTGCACACCACCTATTCACAAAACACTCCTGGCTACTTGCAGTATGTCAATTAAGAGTGAACAAAAGCTTAGAAAAGCCTGAATAGGAAGAATATTGCAGTCAGTGCTATTAGAATGGCGAAGGTTGTGCTTTGTGAAGACTATGAAAGAACGTGACTGAAAGATACTTTACAATATCAAACTATACTGCATCTTTCTTGATTAGATACCAGAGTTGCTGCCGTCCTCAGGAGAAAAGGCTTTTAATTAAGCAAATTTCCTGCCTCAATGCTACAGGCAATCTGTGAGGAATGTTTGCCATTACTGAAAAAAAGAGACTAGATGAATCTGATTACAATGTGCCAAGGACAAATTGTTGGAGATGCTTTAAAAGCTCTTATCATTCTACTTCTCCCACAGCACTATAGCACAGGCATCAATTTGAAGTAATATTTTACAGGCTGGGTAATGTTAAATGTCATTTGCTGTTGATTTCAGGCTGGTGCAGGAAAGATTTGGTTCCTTAGAAGATTCTGAGAGCGGTAAAGCTGCTTTGAGATGGAGAGTTGGACGACTATCTGCAGCTCCCACTTTCTTGGGCAGACTCTTATCTCTCACACAAATTAAAGCTCAGCGGATGAGAGGGAACAGGCTTCCTTAGGGCAAAAAAACACACATAGAAATGCAGCCGCACACTAGCAGTATATACTTCAAATTAACACCCCGTCTAAAATATCTGCATGCAGAGGAACACGGCCTTAAAACCTCAGGACAAAATATACTGTCTAATCCCAACACCCTCACATGCACACACATTTTATCATTGTGGGGACTTCTGTTATTTTTATACTGATTTCTAATGCTTACCGCTAAACACTTGGCTGGTCCCGACAATGTGTGTTTTCAGGTTTACTGTCCTTGTGAGCAGCGTTTCCTTGTCAACAGCAGCAGCATTTACAAAGCCGTGGCAAAAAAAAAAATGTTTATTGTGAATGTTTATTGAATGTGAGGCAATTAAAAGATATACTGGCAAGAAACATATTTTTATCGAGTTTTCCTCGCTGCTAATCGACTTTTTATCACTCATTATTTATGATTGTTTCTTTTTAGTGAATCAAAAACATAGGCTGAATTTGGAACAGGAAGACGCAGAATGGTTCTGCTTTGGCATCTATTGGCTAGTATGCAACAATAAACAAACTAGCTGTCAATATTGCATTATTGACTTATAGTAAATTGTTACTGTTGTGTCAAGTGAAGTGTAGATGTGTAAAAACTCAAGAAGAATTATAAAGAAAGCACTGCCTGTAGAGACATTTGGTACCAACAATGTCGGCAAAACCGTATCCACACACACAGCAGTCTGTTTCAGTCAACACACGTATGTGAATATGCAATACACACACATTTAGTGTTGATCCAGTGTTTTTGGGGACATGTTCCAGCTCCTGTGGGGAGGCCATCTGTACAGTATGCTGCTCTGGAAGAGCCGGGGTATATTATATAGACTCTACGTCTCTCTGAGGCACAGAAAGCAAAGCCACACATCTCTTCCACTTCACACAATGAGCCTAAAGAGTGTGGGGATATTCTGTGGAGAAGACAGGAACAGAACTGGCAAGAAATGTGGAGAATTTTGTGACTATGTGCGAGACGAGGCATCAGAGGCAGCAATTGTGAGGGAAGGCAAGATGAAGTGTGTTTATCCTGTAACACTGCGTGCAAGTGAGGGTGGGTTTGGGTATTTTCCTGTAAGGCTGTATGCCTTTGTTTAATTGTGTGTGTGTATGTGTGTGTACACATACAAGGGCATGTACTGTTGGAAGCTCCTCACTTCTGATTGGCAAAGGAAACACACACATATTCTCACGTAGCCAGACCTTTGACTAACAGTATACAATGTCTGGTCTACATTGCATTTTATAGACAAAAACTGCCCACTTATGAAGGAAGAGATAGTCTGCCTGACATTTAACTGAACGTCTACAGTTTGTTGTGTTTTTACATTCAATAGAGTGCTTTCTGTAGGCCAAAACCAGGAAACAATTTATTATTTTAGCACTTCCAGTTTCATCAATGGGCCTGTAGCACAAGTTAATATATTTTCACGTTTTATTCTATGACATAAAATACATTCGTAATACCACTTTGTGACTTTTTTAAAGCTTTTATGTGTCTTGAAAAAGGTGGTTACTAACAAGCGGCTAAATGAGACTACAAAGATTGATGGGGACATTAAACATCATCATGCCAAACAGGAAAACTCATCCAGGATCATTATGTTTAGAATCGTGCTCTAGAATCTCACGCTTTCAGGAATTTTTTTAATAAAGACAAAAAGAGTTGTCAGAAGCTTAATGGAGGTGACGCTGAAGTCAAATGACTGTGGTTACTTCTTCTTACCTCTGGCGATTGTATATGAGCTTCAAAATGCATAGTTGTGTTCATTTATGAAGATTATTATGATGAACAAAACATGAAAGTATCATAAACTTTTGTTGGTCACAAAGCTTATTTTCTTCAAAAATCAAAAAATCATATTGAGTTTTTGTTGAAGGAACAAAGTTGATGGCCTACAAACTTGTTCAAAATGACATTATTACAAATTAAAACAAATAAAAACAGCTGACTTAGCTTTGAGAATTTCTGTCCATGAAACAAAACTCAGAAAACAATATATATGTTTTTCATTCACACTTTAGTTTGGGGAACAATTCTCACTATTAACCACAACTTTTGCATCAAAGAAATCCTAACTTTCTGCTTATTAATAGTTAGTAAGGTAGTTGTTAAGTTTAGGTTATGATTAAGGGATCTAAAATATGGTCATGCACAAGAAGGCATTAATATGTGCTTTAAGTACTAATAAACAACCAATATGCTAGTAATATGCATGCTATAATAGTAGGGAAGTCGTGGCCTAATGGTTAGAGTCGGACTCATAACCCAAAGGTTGTGGGTTCGAGTCTCGTGCCGGCAGGGATTGTAGGTGGGGGGAGTGAATGTACAGTGCTCTCTCCCACCTTCAATACCACGACTGAGGTGCCCTTGAGCAAGGCACCGAACCCCCAACTGCTCCCTGGGCGCCGCAGCAAAAAATGGCTGCCCACTGCTCCGGGTGTGTGTTCACAGTGTGTTCACTGCTGTGTGTGTGCGCACTTTGGATGGGATAAATGCAGAGCACAAATTCCGAGTATGGGTCACCATACTTGGCCACATGTCACGTCACTTTCACTTTCACTAATAAGCAACTAGTTTATAGTGATAATTGGTTCCTAAACTAAAGCGTTACCATTTTTTCTTTTTTGATATCTATTTAACTTGCTGTCTTAAACTAACCTTTTCAAGATTTGATTCCACTAAAATGACAAATGCTTGTGCTTATGTGTCAACCTGACTTAAAAATACTATCAAAGAAAACCCTTGCAAACACATTCTCCAGGACGTTGTGTAATGCCAGTCATTTAGATTAGAGCTTCCCAAACAGAGAAAGTGCTTTCCAGTTTTGTGTGCAAAATGCATCATTGAACAGATTTTTGGGGGTCAGTAGGCCTGCCATTTGAGATTACACACATATACACACACATGCATGTGCACATGTAAGTACACAAGCACACAGACACATCGGTAGCAGGGAGATCCATTGTGTGGTAATGTGATTCCAGAGGGTGATGGATGACCATGGGGATCTCCACAGAGGTGATTAATAATAAATGCAGAGACACAGGAAGAGGTGAGCATTAAAACTCTCTTCTCTCATCTAGTTCTCAACAACATTCCATCCACCAATAAAACTGCAGGCTTAAATAAGCCTCTTATTACACTCAGACTTACTGACTGTAAAACTACAGGGAATCACACGAGAAACCATGGAAACTATTAAGATGACCACTAATGAACAGACCATATTACAGTGGCTTCTGTCAGAAAGGAAAGCCTTTAAAAACAAGATTATAATAATGAACAGCTTTCTGAAGAGCGAAGCAGAGAAAGTACCATTTTCTGAGCAGTACGTGATGTGCACGGCTCATTTGCCATCTCTGTCATCACAGGCTGAGTTTCTATTCAGTCTTTCGCCCCTTCATTCATGCTTTTTTTAGCTATGTGCAACAGCTTAGTAAAGACCTTGAAAAACCGAGGTTCTTTAACTTGACCACCGCTATGTGACATTTACCCAGAATGTCTTCAGCTTAAGAGCAATTTTGTTTGAATGTAAGAGTTCTTCTATTCACTTTTTCCTTAGCTGTTGACTTTGATGTTAGCCAACTCCAGAACTAAGAACAGAGCTTTACCTCAACAGGCCGATGCCACATGAAACGCAAAGAGGCCGAGTGAAAAGGACACGCAATCGCTGTTGTGAGTTATCTCTCTTGCTGTTTGCTTACCAGAGCTTTCAATCATGTGATCTGTTCCTGTTGCAGGACTCACATTCACTTCATCTCAACTCCAGTGAACCAGAAGAGCACAGAACCACAGAAAACAGACATAGCTTTCATGATGACTATGACTAAGTACAGACGTGCAGTCAATATGAAATCAAAAAAGACCATTTTTGGGTCAATAGCAAAACGTGTTGTTTTGGTCCGAATATACTAATGTATTCAAAAATATATTTTAAAAAGCCAGTAACTTAAATACACCAAAAAACAATAGTTTTAAATTCTAAATTACAATTTATTTTTTAATTTTTATACTATAGGTATGTTATATACAATTTAAAAATGTACAAAGAAATTATCAAAAGTGACTGTAAAGACATGTATAATTATTATTATTATTAATGTTTTATTTGTTAGGGACAGATACAATAAACATAGATGAAAATGTAAAAAACAATCATCCCATGCATGTACCATAGCGCTTGTAGCCGAAGCTAATGTAATAAAAGATTTCTATTTATAAAATAAATAAGGTTCTTTTGAACTTTCATCAAAGAATCCTCAAAAAATGTGTAATGTTTTCAAGAAATATGTTTTCAACACTGATAAATAATAAGAAATGTTTGAATGATTTCTGTGGAATGATTTCACATGATTCTGACGATTATGTGACACTGAAGACTGGCGTAACGGCTGCTGAAAATTCAGATTTGCCTTAACAGGAATACGTTTGAAAATATATTTATATTTAAATAGCAATATTACTGCGACTTGAATGAAGAGACTTCATTCAAAAACATTTTCTTTAAAAAAATAGTACCAACCTCAAACTTTTGAACAGTAGTAGTGTATACAAGCATTTTTTAAGTAATGGTGTGTTTAAGTTGTAACGAAAATATGTTCTTACTTGTTACTTGATGATTAAACAACATAATATTTTTAGAGTCAGATTACGGAAGTACAGTTGTACTGTAAATGCCGTTCCATTTTGACTTTAAAAGAATGAACCCCATGCAGATTCATAAGTATGCAAGTAGTCTTTTAGCAGATGCTATTATCCAAAGCGACTTACTAAAGTGCACTTATGGCCGGGACAATCTGTCTGGAGCAATCTGGGGTTAAATGTCTTGCCCAAGGGTACAATGAAGAGAAGGGTCCCTCCTTACTAGGATTAAACCAGTGACCTTCTGGTCAAGTGCCCTAAGTATAAACCAACACAACCTCATCAGATTAAAAGAAATTAAATCAGCACCAACCCATGAAATCACCCATAATTTCAACTTCATAATTTCTAAAACGTTCACAAGCTTGCAGCTCTGAGCTGCAGTCCCAGGTTTCCTTTAGGGAAACATCAAAGCTCGAACTGGCCTTTGATGTCAGAAGAGCTGAGCCGAGCGGCATCCATCTCGCCAGTCTGCCCTACATTTGTTTACAGCCCTGCTCTTGGCTAATATAAAGCAGAACGTGTGCATGTTACACACACCCAAACTAGATGAAACAAGGTTTCTGCCAAAAAAGCGTTTTTTCTAACATAATGATACTCCCGTGACAGACACGGCAAGCCTGATAGAGGCGCGGTATACGGCATCAGATGATTACACCGGAGACACGGAGCTAATGACAGCTCTCCATACCACAGGCAGAAAAGACTCCCTATCTTCTGCAGGCCTTGCGGCCACAGTGCACTTCTGCTTCTTCAGCAACATGCATGTGAGATAATCTATTTGGGAATGGATGGCGACCACGGAGAGTCATGGCTTGGCTTTATCCCTTTACTGGATCTCAAGAGCCCGTGGCTTGGCATGAAGGAGGAGTCGCGGTTCTGTGCGTCTGCATGAAGAGTTACAGCAAGCATGAAGTGAATTAGACAAACCATCTCTTTTTCTCTCCCAAGGTCACTATTGAGCTTTAATGGAATGAGTGCCTACACGAAAACGGTTCTTCTTTACACGCCCATTCAACAAAGCTTGTTATTTGAACTTGTACTCCCTTGAGACGTGTACTGTCCCTCAGATCATACACATCCCTCCTTCTGTTCTTACAAACGCAATGCCGAGCGGCGCAGCATGAGAACAGGGTGTTAACATGCGTTTCTGTGTGGGAGTGATTCTGAGCACGCTTCCAACCTTATCTCTCCTCACACTTGTGATCGGTGTATTTAAACACCTGCTGTTTTGTGATTTTGTCACACCTCTAGCCAACCTGACGCTTTTTACTCTGTTTTGTGCCTTACGGTGCATTTAGGGACAGTGGTTTCCCTTCAAACTAATGTCTACGGTCATAAAATGTATACAAGTCATACTATATACTGCCATTCAAAAGTTTGGGATCAGTGTGATTTTTATTTTTTTTATTCAGCAAAGACGCATTAAATTGATCAAAAGTGACAGTAAAGACATTTATAATGTTACAAATTACATATTTTTAATAAAGACTGTTCTTTTGAACTTTCTATTCATCAAAAATGTATCACGGTAAGCAGTTGTTTAACTGTTTTCAACATTTATCATAAGAAATAT